GTAGCATGATGAGCAAGTTAAATAATGTAACGTAATGAGCAAGTTAAATAATGTAGCATGATGAGCAAGTTAAATAATGTAACGTGACGAGTAGATTAAATAATGTAGCATGATGAGCAAGTTAAATAATGTAACGTGACGAGTAGGTATAGGTAAAGTAATTCATAAAATATATTAGCATTAGTTTACAAAAGTGATATAAAATAAAACAACATGAAAGGAATTGCTACAATAATTATACATAAAAATTATTATAATTAATAAATTATTATACCAAGATGAAATAAAATTTTACCACTATATTTAACAACACAATAAACCCCTGAACGCTTAACAAGTAATAATACTCGTATCGTGAGTTTGGCATTTGTCTAGTTAACGTTAGGTGAGTGAAAGTTATGATTCTCTCTCTGAAAGGAAAAATGATCTGATCTATTTTTAAATGACTTACGCTTGTATCATAACAAAATAACACATGAATCTACTGCCAGTTAGGGTCCAAAATTAAACTGATACAAGTTCGAATTCGCACTGTGAACATTCGGTTGAACTTGTGTGTATGTTAACACTGGGGCTTGGATTTGTAGAAGAGTAATTACTTAACCAAATGTTCTTACCAGTGGATCAATGTGTACGTTAGCAAGTGTATATGTTGAGCTAAGGTAAGAAGAAGAATGAGAACGTCAGTATGTATGTATAACTGAGTTAGGTTCAATGAAACAATGAAGAGCTAGTACGCGTATACTGTAGAACTAGAACCAGTAGAATAATGAAAACATTGATATGTGTACGTAGCTGAGCTTGAAATTATAAAATAGGCAGGATGTTAATGGATGTAAAGAGTTAAGTTGGGACCATTGAAACATTAAGAAGGTCAAAAGACGCACGAAGCTATACTTAGGCATGTACAGCAGAGCTGGATTTCAATGTATTACTTAACTGCATACAGAAAAACACCTTAATAATCGACGTAGTCACGAGTGAAGAAAATCTCTTTATTATAATAGATGTAGTCACGAGTGAAGAAAACCTTCAATATTGAGGTTCCACCATGTCAAAAACCACCAAGTGTTGTAATGTTAACCGGCCCATTTTTACCTTGTTTCCTTACTTTTTGCTGCTCACATTCCCACTTCCTAATATTTTATTTAATTTTTTTACACTTGTTAGATGTAGTCAATGTTGCACTAAACTTTTTAAGTCACAAATAAGTAAAAACGCCTTCTATATTAAATATACAGTCAAAACAGTGGAAAATCGCATTACTAAAGACAATCACTTTTCCGTTACGACCCTAATTCCAATTATTTTGGGGTCAGTTGGTACTTTTTGTTGTTGTAAGTGAAGCTGACCCAGTCAGCAACCCTATAGGACGAGCAATTTCGGCAACGGGGATTAGAATACACGATCCTCAGATTGCGAGTCGAGCACTCTAACCACCAGGCCATTCCAGATCCCATTAGAAACAATCACTACTATAGAAAAACTCCTCAACAATATCAGAATCAGTTGTGAGCAATGGAAAACCACTCAAAATGGATATATAGTTAACACTATAGAGACACTCATTAGTACTATATACCAGTGGTTCTCAAACGTTCAGGTTCGCGTACCACTTTTTCTTTATTTTTTTAAAATTACAAACACAGGCCTAATTTGAAAGAAAAAACCCAGTAATAAAAAACATGTTTTAAACACTTAACCATTAATGCGAAGGATGCGATTGTTTTTTTCTGGCACGATTGAAGAATATGTGGTATCATTTTTGTCAATTTTAAGGGAAGTAAATACTGGCGAGTCTACGCAAGTATAGGGTGAGTCTATAAGTGAGGAGAGTAGTATATATATATATATGTAACTGGAAAGCTCAGATAGGGCTTATTACAAATTTTATGATTTTTTTATATTAATTGTGTCGTGTACCACCGTCATTAGCTCCACGTTCCAACAGTGGTATACGTACTACAGTTTGAGAAACCCTGCTATATACAATCAGTGTTGTAGAAAAAGTCTTAAATTTTGTATACAGTCAACGCTATAGAGAAACTCCTCGACATTAGATACAATTTCAGCGCTATCGAAAAACTTCTATATTTGATGCAATCAATACTAAAGAAAAATCCTATATATCAGATATAGCAGCATACACAAAAAATAAAACTTAATATTAGATGGAATTACTACTATAGAAAACTGAATGTTAAATAAAATCAAAAGTAAAAAAAAGTATCAACATTACATGCAGTTAAGACCATAGAAACATTACATAGTCATCAACACAGGACAATACCTCAATGTTTTAGACACATGGTAGGCTCACTACGTCAGTCGAGCGTTCATACTCTGAGTCATGAAAGGAGAATCAAGAAATATATATATATATATATGTAGATAACAATAATCTTCATTCATATCATTTACCTTTAATAAGACCAAATGGACAATACAGCTGCATGGTCTAACAATTCCATTTCGTGTGAAACTGACATTTGTTAACACGTGTTTCAAGGCGCACTCCGTTCTTCCCCTGCTGGTCTTTTCACTGTCGATGCAGCATGGTAAATCTGTCCCAGCTCTCCTGCTCTGCATGAGGAGAAGCAGAACGAGCCACGTGCTACATCACTTTCAGTCGATGGCGTTACTGAATGAAATGTCAGCTACACTGGATGCTATTTTAAACGCCGACTAATCTCACGAAAGAAAGACGAAGTTTAGTGAATAAAATAATATCTTCTGTCGACAACGATGGGGAGACTTTTTTTATTTTGTTTTCAATTTTAAATACAAAGAATTCAAAGTGAGAAAATATGATAGAGAGGAAATAGCAGATGGGTATGATGTGTCGACAAACTGTGTGTCGCTGATACTAGAAAAACAAAAGAATGTATGTGTTGCGCATGTTTACAAATATATGATACATCTGCTTAGTCAATTTAGTGGATGCTCTGAATCAAATGTTGGCTGCAGTCATTGGTCTGTAATAAATAATGCTAGTTTTTATTGTTATTTTATCTACACATTTCACATTATGTTGTTTTATATCTAGAATCAAAACCCCAAAAAACTCTCACATTTAATCAATTTGTTTTTACAGAAAATTTTGTTCAGAAACTAAAAATTCGGTAGATACCACTTACGGTAGACGGTTGGGGCGTCGTTTCTTAGCGCTTTGCCTAGTAATATCGTATCTCGATTACTTTGGATATAATGAAACAGAAATAACAACAACAAAAAAATGTTTACCATTTTTTAACTACTCATCTGAACCTTACATGTGTTTTATTTACCTATATGCTTCTGAGGGTCGCGGGTTCGAATCTCCGTCCCACCAAACATGCTCGCCCTTACAGCCGTGGGGGCATGTAGCTTTGTGCGAAATTCAAAACAAACCACACAACCTAATTATCTGATATTCCTACCACAACCACTCTATAGGTGGCGCTATCGTTTACAACTAATCATGAAACTGTTATTTAAGGAGCTTTAAAAATCAAACCTAGGCCTCTGGTGAAGCATTTGAACTAGCGCAAAGGTTAAAATGATATTTTAGTTGTAACATAGGAAATACCAATTAATTAGAAGATGTTTACAAGATCCAAGATAATATTAAATAGGTATAATATAATATTTTATATGAAATTTGTGTGGCTTAGCCTTTAACTATTGGTTTTGTTAATAATAAAAACAAAGTAACACACACAAATGTTTCTACAAAGACTGTAAAAATATGTGTAGTTTGCCAATTTATTCTCGAGTAACTTGGTAAAAACATATGTACACATGAATTCATTACAAAGTCATGGCTCATGTCTAAAATCCAATCAATTCAGCCTAAAGATTAACAAGCTTAATACTAATGTGTAAACCCCAGTTAATCTTATCTCAAGATTAACAAACTTAATACTAGTGTGTAAATAAACTAATAAATCTTCCCTAGAGATAACAAACTTAATATTAATGTGTAAATGTTAATAAATTCACCCTCAAGACTAACAAGCTTAATACTAATGTGTAAACCCCAGTTAATCTTATCTCAAGATTAACAAACTTAATACTAGTGTGTAAATAAACTAATAAATCTTCCCTCGAGATAACAAACTTAATATTAATGTGTAAATATTAATAAATTCACTCTCAAGACTAACAAGCTGAATACTAACTTGTAAACCCCAATAAATCTGCTCTCAGTATCCAACAAACTTAATTCTATTATGTAAACCGCAATTAATCAACTATAAAGACTAACCTTACTAAATTTATTCTCATTACTAAACTAAATTAATACTAACTTGTCAACCTCAATCATTTTACTCTGAAGGCTAAAATACTTAAGATTTAAGTGTAAACTCCAAACAATCTGATCTTAAGATTAACAAACCTAATACTTATATTTAAAATCCAATACACTTTCAAGATTATCAAACTTAAAACTAACGTGTAAACCTCAATCAATCGACTATAAAGACTAACAAGCATAAAACTAATGTGTAAACCTCAATTAATTGACTCTCATTATTAACAAACTCAATATTAATGTCTGAACCACAATCATTATACTCTCAAAATTAATAAACTTAATACTACTGTATAAACACTAATCAATCTACTCTCAAGGCTAATAAATTTAATAATAATATGTAAACCGTAATAACTCTACTCTTAAGGCTAAGTATAAACCCCAATCAATCTCATATCAAGATCCACAAACTTAATACTCACATTTAAGATCCATTACATTCTCAATATTAACAAACCTGGTACTAATTTGTAAACTCCAATCAATCTAATCAAAATTAACAAACTTAATATTAATGTGTAAACCCTAATCAACCTATTGTCAAGACTAATACATTTAATAATAATGTATAAACTCTAACAATTCTACTCTTAAGGCTAAGTGTAAACCCCAATCAATCTGATATCAAGATTAACAAACTTAACACTCATATTTTAAGCCTAATACTCTCTCAAGATTAACAAACTTAGTACTAACGTGTAAAATCCGATCAATCTACTCTCAACATTAACAAACTTAATACCAATGTGTAAACTTAAACTTATCTTCTATCAAGATTAACGAACTTAATACTAATGTGTAAACCTCGATTAATGTACTCTCATTATTAACAAACTTAATATCAATGTGTAGACCGCACTCAATCTATTCTCAAGACAAACAAGCTTAATACTCAAGTGCAAGTCTCCTAGTGGATCAACTGTAAGTTTACGGACTTGCAATGCAGTGGACAGTGTAGATAGCCCATTGTGTAGCTTTGCACTAAGAAAAACAACGCCATTAATGTGCAAACCCAAATCAATCTATTTTCATTCTACGGAAGTACGAGTGAAGGCAAAGAATAATATGTAATAATACGTCAAAAACACTATATCTGCCATATCCAGTATCGAAGAAGCCTTTAGTCCAATACCAGGGCTCACCAGGCTGGCTGCGATACAACAGGTAGAATATTGGTTGAGACGCTATTTATATTATCAATATGCATGAAGAACAACTGTTCTGGAGAACCAGAAAGCTGGTATTAACAAGCTTAAATAAGTCACTCATGTACTGCCCTGCCAGATGTGCACGGATATGTAGTCATAGGAAATTGGGGAAAGAATGGGAACCTGGAAGGTGGCCTTAATGGTCATTTTCTTAATGTAATGCACCAGTGCCAATGGTCTCAGTAACGGTATTATTCTGTGAGGCGACTGTTAACCAGGATTCGACAGATGCATAGCGAAATTTGTTCCTTTGAAATCTGGCAAATTAATAACCATTGTAAGACTGCGATTTAGCCTTTTAAGCTTGAATTTTTTACATGTTCTACTGTAATTCCTGTACGCTGAATCCGAAAATGATATCAATGTTTCTCCATCACGTACAGATTTTTCATATGTTATTTGTACTTTTACATAAGTAAATCATTTTCATTGAAATCGGGTCACATTTTATTATGCTTAAAATGTTGACAACCACTGGCTATAGATGCTGTGATGGACTAATTAAGAGGAACATGAAATATAGGAAACCTCCTACAGTCTAGCCTGATTTTTTTCATCACGATTGATAAAACAGTTGGTCTCGTTACTGTTGTTGTTTAAGCTACTCCATGGACTCCCTTTGTCGCACCCCAGTGGCACAGCGATTTGTCTGCGGACTTACAACGCTAGAATCCGGGTTTCGATACCCGTGGTGGGCAGAGCATAGATAGCCCATTGTTTAGCTTTGTGCTTAATTACAAACAAACAAACTCCCTTTGTTCTGCTCATTTTAGTATTGTAACCCCGTAAATTCACCGCTGATACCTCAGAGAGGGAGGGGCGTTGGTTCTATGAATTTGTCAGCTTCTTGTATTGTTTGTTTGTTTTTGAATTTCACGCAAAGCTACACGAGGGCCATCTGCGCTAGCCGTCCCTACTATAGCCGTGTAAAACCCACCGCCAACTCTTGGGCTACTCTTTACCAACTAATAGTGGGATTGACCGAGCATGTTTGGTGGGACGGGGATTCGAATCCGCGACCCGTAGAGTGCTAGTCGAGTTCCCTAACCACTTGACCATGCTGGGCCTAGCTTCTGGTATCTAGTGTGAAAAGCTCTGATGAATGTATTACTGCGTTGGGAAATTCTTAGGTATTTATTTTTCTGTTCAGTAATGGCGTGTCCCATGTAGAAACTTTTACATGAATATCTAGCACTTAATTACATACCAACTATTGTATTGGTATTATGAACTCGAACAATAACAATCTTATGCCCAAATAATGACCAATGACACTTTTTCTTCACTTCACCTATCCAGTGTATATGTTTTTGTCACAATGACTAAAAAGCACGTTCACACCAACAATATTGTTGCGTCATCGAAGTCACGTGACTAGTGTCACGCCACGTTTCTAGAAGTATCTTGTTCCTTCGTGAATGCCCTAGCATTTACTAGATATAGGGTAGTCTGGTATATATAAGATGGTCACGGCGTGACGTGACAATGTGTGTGTGTGTAGGTAGTGAGTAATTGAACTGCAGTCAGGAAGTATTGTTGAAGTTAACGTTCGTTGTTAAAACGTTTGTTACAGAGCGACTGTTGAAAATAAGTGTATCGGTAAAGTTATATTCAGAAAGAATAAACCAGTTTTATTAAGTAAGGACTTGTGTCGCTAAAGTTTCGTCGGAACGAAGTTACGGAAAATCAATTAACGAACGGAGACGTAAAAAATTGGTGTCAGAAGTGGGATGGAAAACAAAAATGGAAACGAGAGGCGGAACATCAAACTACAGTTTAGCAGACTTGATGGCCGCAATACAAGAGCAACAAAAGAAACAAGAAGAACGAGAAAAGAAACAAGAAGAGAGACAACAGCAGCTGCAAGAAAACCTGCAACAGTGGCAGCTCGAACAGCAAAATAAACAAGAAGAAAGATTACAGCAGTTGTTGGAGGAAACAGAAAAGAAACAAGAAGAGAAATTACAGCAGTTGCAAGAAAACCTGCAACAGTGGCAGCTCGAACAACAAAATAAACAAGAAGAGAAATTACAGCAGTTGTTGGAGGAAAAAGAAAATAAACAAGAAGATAAATTACAGCAGTGGTTGGAGGAAAAAGAAAAGAAACAAGAAGAAAAATTACAGCAGTGGTTGGAGGAAAAAGAAAAAAAACAAGACGAACGAGAAAAGAAACAGGAAGAAAGTCT